CTCAATGGTGGCGTTATTGATTTGAAAGGCATCATTTAAAGGCCTTGATCTAGAACTGTACTCAAGAAGGGAAAGAGAAAATAGAAATAGTATTTCCAGAACAATTGACGTTCGACAAAGCTTAAGGACATGCAAAGCTCAACAATCAATATTAGATCATTCATGCCAAATACCTGACAGAAACAAATAGTCTTTCTTCTCAATCCTTCAAATAAACTAAAGGATAACAGGGTTGCCACCACAGAGGGATGATAACATTCATGCAGAATTCATGGTTTTCATTGGTAGTTAAAAAAAAAAAATTCATGGTTGTTGCGCTTATACCATTTCAACACAATTCAGGTTTGCTGATTTCATAAACTGACGTTAAAGTGGCAGGTTCTTTGTATGTTACTTTTGAATAACCTTTTATACTTAATATACATCTTTTTTTGAGTGATTTATAAACATTCAAAAGAAAGTTGAAAACAAAACTTGCCAGCTCATATTCTATATGAGATATTGGAGAAGAATTGTAAAATATATTAAGTCTAGGTCTAATTCAGTCTTTCCACCGGAATAAAACAAAAATCCCACTCACCCAGCCAAAAAAGTCCTGTTTCATCCAGTTTTATCCCCCTACATAATTGTCATAAAATGTGCATTCTGGTTTATCTTATTCCACAACGTACTAAGATACATCCTACACTCATCTCCATTCATACTAATACCTACATAATTAATACCTACTATGTATGGTCGCCATTCAATAAAAAAGTAAAGTAAAGGATAATGGTTTTATCCAAAATGCTAAAAAAATCAGGCGTCAGTCGGAAATTCGGTTTTATTGCGCACCCCGTTTCAATTCCGTGCATGGTCTAAAACTTCTGTTTTGTGATTCAAGTCCCCATACCCCTTTTTCATGCGCAGGGGTTGGCCTACTAATGATTTTTCTAACCATATACAGTCCTCAGGAAGTCTCAGCTGACATCAGTATCTTTGAATGACTTGGAATGAAATAAGCAATTGTTTCTGACCGTGGAACATGTTAAATAATCATCTCCACACAGTATTTTCATGGTTTTTCGTTTCTATGAACTGTTTTTAAATATGAAATATTTTTTATTTGGAAAATTTAATGGTACTGGTTAAAAATTTTTCCTGATTTTGAAAATTCATGGTCCATTTGAGAAATCCATGCATAATCCATGCCTTTTTTCATGGTCACAAGAATTCATGCATAATTTAAGCTTTTCAATGTTTTCATGGCTGGTCGCAGCCCTGGATAAAAAATACACTCCATTATTTAAACTTAAATATGAGACCGAGTCATTAAATCTCCCTTAGGATTATTTTTTTGACCACTTTTCAGGGCCAATAGGCCCTGAAAAGGTTTTTCTCGCAATAGCGAGATAGGCCTTGCATGTATAGTAGACGTGAAAGATAATATTTTTGTATAGAAAATATTACCCTTTAACCTATTAGTAAGTTCATCTAGAAGTTAATAATCTACAAGGCTGATTGGGGAAATGGCGCGTGCGATTCTATTCTTTGACATGGGGATTATATACTGTCAAAACCATCAGATAGGTCCGAGTGCCGTTTTACTCCCCAGAGTGTAAGAGTAATAATTCAGGGTAATAGTGAAAGGGGGTAGTGAACATGATGTAATGGAGACCATACAGTTTTTTAACTGGACTATCCTTATATCGATTGAAAATTAATATTGATTTGATTAGTAAGCCTTCGTTCAATTTTTTCACAATCAGCAAGTTTGGTTAGGTTATAACAGTTTAATTTTATCCCTAAAAATTTTCCTCATCCCCCCCCCTCCCGGTCGATCTTTCCAACCCCATACCCACCACACTGTGGAACCGGTCACTGATACCTGGCAGGCACTCGCCTCGCCAAGCCTCAGGCTGTAAAATGACCCTCGTCAAAGTGTTAAGGCAAAGGGCATTCAGCCCTACATTTGGCTGATTAAATCAAACCAAAAAGAATGTAGTAAAATTAACTGATACGACTGAGTTGAGTTTCTGCAACTAACAGAAAATGTGAAAACTGGAACTATTTTCACAGGTAGATATTGAAGAGAGAAAATTTTTCATAAGCGACCTCGACCTCGTGCAAAGTACTGTACAGGCAAAGCAACTACCCAAAAAATTGGGTTTAGGTTATTACATAACACTAGAAAACAATTTGTATGAATAAAAAATATATCGTTAGATGGGAAATGCAAGCTCACAGTTCCGATCTCCCACTCAAGCACATCTCTGTTCCGTCATCCCACACAACTTTACCAAGGCTGCAGCAAGTCAAGTCAACTGAGGCCAATTTCCAGCCTAGCCTTGCTGCGGATTAGCAACACCCTTCTAACGCATTGGAAGGTCCAGTTGCATTTACTGCTTCATTAAATATAAAGGACTGTAACTTATTTAGAAAAAGTTTTGCCGTAGGCCTAAGCAGCTCTCAAAGAGGTGATTCCCCAAACTAAGTTAGTTAGAAAACTCAAATTCGGTATGGATGTAACATAGTCAAACATTATTCAGGTTAAAGATATGAAAAAGGGCAATGAGGAAATATGAGGAATCAACCAACCCATTGGCTCATGGTTAAATTGGAATCCCACAATACCCTAGGTCCAAAGTACCTACTAAACACAATGTCCACAATGTTGGCCCCATCCGGTATATACCGTAAATATTTGGGTGACTTCTTTTAATTCTCCTACTAACTAATAGAATCAGAGCAAGGGTTTTAAAAAAAACTTGGTTGCGGTTGCAATGGACTTGATTCCAAGCATTATCAGCATTGAGTATTATATTGGATTGGTTTTAAAACTCTACTGCAATAAGATAAAGTCCTGAGAGTTGAACTTATAAAGATGAGCCAAAAAATATTCATGCTTTGAATCTAAAGCAGTAAAGTTACGTGAAAAGATATCAAATCTAATAAGAAAATGTAACTAACGTAAAACTTAAGATAAACTGGCAAGGGTCAGGAATAACTACAGGGGAGACTGTACTTTTTCTGGTTCAATGCTTTTTAATGGAGATTCTCTACAAAGTTCGAGTACATTTTTAAGCTTGGGTAGGCCTATAGCACAAAAACCACTAAAAACCGACAATACTGATTTTTTGCACTCTTAATTATCACATCCATATCTTTATGTTAAACCACTTTTCAAAGAAATATATCAACATAAAATTTATTTCCAACCATTAAAAAATTAAAATATCTTCTTTTGCGATATTCTAAAAATAAAAATAAATAGGCCTAGGAATTTTTTTGTAAGGTAAAAGTTTATTACCGTACTAATAATGTATATGTTTTGTTTTTGTACTCACCAAGTACCCAGACTGATGCATGCAAAATTTTAAGTCTCTATGTATTACAGTTTTTAAACTAAGTGCGTACCTAAAGATAAAAATACCCCTGCCGCAGCAAACCTTCAGACTAAGCGAATTTCAACTTGTCTGATCATATTTCTACTAAAATATTTCCATAAATAAGACATAGGTTATTTATTCCCTATTTAAATAACATTAGATTTAACGAGTGCTTAGGTTTGCTGCTACGGGGAAGGTAAAAAGTGTTTTTTGACCAAACATCAATAGTATAGGATGAAATAAATAAATTTGCATAATGTTATCAATATGTATCCATAAACAAGTAAAGTAACTTACAACAATTTTCTTTTTCTCCATATAAGCATAACATGAAAATTTAAAAATTACACTATTTTTGAATTTTTTCCGTGACAGTTAGGCATACAACAGTGCTTCAATATACTAAATTATTTCTTTTTTTAAGCTCTACAAAACGGTTTAGAAAGAAATTGAAATTTTTTGTTTTCAGGGTCAAAAATGGGAAAAAAACATTTTCACCCCATAAACCCCTGTTCCCATGGTCCGATTATGCTGGATCGCAAACTCGTTCGAATAAAAGTAGGTTTACACGTTTGTACCAAATTTCATCAAAATCGGATCATTTTTGCTAGAGTTATCGCGCTAACGGACACATATATGTAAATGAATTTGAACGGATGGTGTTTTTGGCCTCTAGGGACCTCAAAACGAAAAAAATCGGTCCCGCGTCCAGGTCTTACCATGAGTACTACGGTAATAGCTTATTCCCTATATGGGAAATTCGCTAAAAACAAACTTTCGGAAAAGCACAAAAGCTTTAGCACACAAGTAAAGCCATAAGAATAGTGTGGCCGAAACCTCGGTAGAGTTATCTTTGTTTATTTATTGTTATCATAAGAAGCTATCTAAAATTGGCTGCATTTTACTTTTGGTCCTACTGTCATTCGAATGAAAATAAGTTATTGATTATTCAATTTTTTCATTCGATATATCGTTTGGTTAGGCCTTACCTAACTAACCAAACGATACATAGAATGAAACAATCGATTTATCGATCGATACTTTTTCATTCGAATGAGTGTAGGACCTAAAGTAAAGTGCAACCCAATTTGGAACTACAGTACTTGCATAGTCTGTATTTGAGGTGATAATTATTGGTTGAAATTTCCTAGGTAAGTTCAACCATTGACTATATAACACTAGTGTTAGGCCTATTTATAGTGTTAGTCAATGGTTCAACTAAACTTACTCTGGTAAGAGGGGTGCCCTTGGAGGGTAGGCCTACTCACGTTTGACTGGACTAGGTACCGTGCTAGGTACTATTTACACATATATTTTTACAAAGTCAGGAAGGTTCTAGATAATCAAAAAGGACGTTCTGTTATCAGTTAACTTATCCATCAGCTTAAATAGAATAGGCCTACAGTTTGGGAAAGTCAGAAACTTAAGAACTATACTATTAAACCTAATTAGTAAATAGTGCTTGAATCAGAGAACCTCACGTTACTGAGTACTGACATGACATGACATAGCAGACCGATTATCGATCCAGCGCCACCACAATGAACAAACCTGTTCGCCTTGGATTGGAATTAGGCCTATTCTAAGGAATTTGTCTTAAGATGGCGTAAAAATCTAAAGAGTAGTAGTTACCTCACGCCTTTTAGATCCAATATTAAATGTATACACACCTGAACAAATACAAAAACACTCCCAAAACACAAAACTGCACTAAATCACGCACTCTCAACACACACACATGATCGGTGCACAGACGACACAGCTGATCTCACAAACTGTACTGACTGAAAGAACTGAAATCGTTCATTTCGTTTCAGCCAGGCCGGTAGGCGACGACATGGGCGCAGCCTACAGGCCACTTCACCAACTACAATGACTAAATTATTGCGAGTAAAAAATTGTTCAATATGGCTGTTAAAATTAAATTTTCTTATGGAATAGCCGAATGCTTGTATTTTACGATTGTTGTAGAATGTAAATTTGATTTGAAAACCTTCGGATTCTTGTCACCTTTCCACTAAATCCACTCCTTCACTTCAGCTTAGGAGTTGCAGGGCGTTGGGCGTTACAAATGGGGAAATATGGCTTTACAATGTACATCATAAAATACGAAGTGTTCGGTAAGAGATTTTAAAATTATCCACTAAATTATAAAACAGCGGAATTTTTTAAACAATTGAATTATTTGTTAATATCATTAAAAAACGTTGAAAAATCTTCAATTATTAATGTTTTTCTCTAGATCTGGGATACCTTACTTACTTGCTTGTTACTTACTTATCTGGGATACCACAAATTTTAAGGAGGCGCAGTTATGTTATACACCTTGTATTTTTACCAAACTTGGAAAATAGATTTACATTACACTAAGCCATTACACTTAAATAAAAAAAATGAAAAACCAATTTTTCAACATTTCAAAACTCAGTTGAGTACCCCGTTTACCCGTTATGACCCGATCATGATCATGCTGGTTCGTGAACTCGTTCAAGTTTATCAGGCCCTGCACCTTCAAAGCAAATTTCATCGGCCGTAGAACGATTGGCACACATTTTTAGCCAATTTGGAATAGACGACTGGCACAATCATTAGAGGGGATTAAGAAGGGTCAACCTGTAAGGTTCGGAAAGGCACGATTGGCACAACAGACCGGTAAAGAAGTAGAAGCCAATTAGCCAGAATGCGGGAAAATGGAAATTGTTTTGTCCCCACAAATTCCCTGCTGTGGTGCTTATTGGAGTAAGCTAGGTGTAAGTTTGCGTGACAAATCTGCAGCTACGGTTACTGCGCTAGCTGGATCCAAATAAAACTACACTAACCTAATAACCTAACCTTACCTAACTTAACCTAACCTAACCTAGCCTAACCTAACCTAGCCTAACTTAACCTATCCTTACCTAACCTAACTTAACCTAAGCCAACTTAACCAAACCTAGCTTAACCCTTGAAAATACGTGATATTATCGGCAAATGACTGTGGTAGCAAGTTGACGGGGAATTTTAAACTACCCGTTTTCCCTCGTTCGATGGCATCTACCTGGTCGACCGGTTGTGCCAATCGTGCCTTTCCCAAGCAGGCGAGTTGACCCTACTTATTCCGCTCAAATGATTGTGCCAATACTGCCATGGGCAGAAGATCCAAAAATGTGTGCCAATAATCGTCCCGTTCCCATTTAATCTAAATCAGACCAAATTTACTCGAGCTATTGCGTTCGGATGTTTAAATACAGTACACTAGTACACAAATCTATGCATACATACATACAAATTTTAACGAATTGTGTTTTTGGCTTCTGGGGACATCATAATTAAATTGATTAAATTATTAATTACTCCCTTAATGGTAATTTGCTAAACACTTCTGTGTTGGGGATATTATGATTATTTTATGTATGTATAGAAGGGGGTTGGGCGTCGTAAGTAAATAAAACAATCCATTGCTTCCTCTTGTCCAACCAAGAGTCCATTTTAAGCAATCCACTTAATTTATATTACCAAAAAAACTTACAGTTCTAATTGACATGGCTGTTTACATTAATCCACCAATACACACAGTTGTCTGCATGCCTGTGTTTGTAAAATCTGTGGTTTAGATGAAGTAAGAATGGATATGATTGCAGGTTACACAATAACACAAGCCGTTGTTTCATGGCTTCTGCTAATTCGCCACCCTCCAGAGACTGCGTTTCTACCAGTTTCCTTTTCCGGATGTTATCAGTTCCGCCGCGATTACGAAATTAATGCGATAATTGCAACAGAAAACCATTAGAGCCGCAAAACGGATTAATGTGTCCGGTCGGTCTCACTTTACACAAAATTATTATTTTGGTTCCAAACGTTTTTGGTTTCAAAACTATTTCAAGTAGATTTTTCGCACTTGATTTTGATACAAATGACACAGCTGCTGGAAGTGGTAGCCCACCTCTAGTCCAGATAAAATAACCTACCGAAAATTGTCTGCTAAGCTAGCAGGGAATATATCTTTACTTTCAAGACTAGATAACATACTAAATGTTTAATGTTTTGTGATATATGATAAATAGTATTTTTTACTTAGGATAAGCTGTTTATTATTCTCCAGAAGTAATATTCATTATATTTATAGCCCTTTACGTATATGATAAGCTCATGAATTGTTTTGACGGATAAAGCATTTGTTTGATTCATAATGTAAATTAATACACAGCTTTGAGTTTCCCAACCATGTGCATCGTTCCTGGCTTTGTAATAAGACAAAATAAAAGTTTTCTAAGATTTAAGATGGCTTTTTTTAAAGTACTTGAATTCTCATTCGGTATTCTTCAGTAGGGTTACCTTAAAAAGGGTTCTCTTCGTTTGGTCCACCCACACCATTATTTTATTTTCAAGCGTTACTTTATGTTGTTCTTTTCTAAGTTGCATGATGCAAACTAATAAATTACAGTAGTTCTGCTAATTTAATTAGCTTCTAAAAATTGAATTCTATATTTGAAAATATGTCTCATCAAGCATACCACAGCTTAGACACCGCGAACAGATATAAAAAAAAAAACTTAAATTACATAAAATTTCAAATTATATTTTAAACATACACAATTAACAGTTCTGTTGTTTTATATGGAATGGATTATATTTCTATGGAAAAACTGAGGCAATCAGGCCAATGAATCGTAAAACAAGTCCATTTCTTAAAACGAACCGTTTTCCTATTCCGTTGTTTCAAACTGAAGTTTGACAGAATGACAGAACAGGAAGGAAGTTTTGACGGTCCAGTTGGCAGGCGTGTGACCGCCTTCGCGCTCCCTCGCTTCCTACGGCTGATTGTAGTAATCAGCTGATGGTTGGCGGGAACAGCCTTGCGCATAACCTCTAAATAACTCACGCAACCGCGTGTCGTCACTCTCACTTTACAGTTTACACCACAATTCTTGGTGGATTGGGAAATAGGTAGATGCATGCATGTAACTAAACATGTCTTTCAATTTTCAATCAAACTTAAATACGATAACTAGTTTTCTTTTTACAAACCAGACAAACGCTTGGGATGGTTGTAAAGAAATTATTAGATGGAATTGAAATTTTGCTTTGGGGTGGTTAGCAATTATAATTGACTTACTTATCCCCTTCATCTCCTTTGGAAGCATAGGGTATACCGAAGACCTCTTCATCTTTTGACCCCGCAATCGCCTTCAACTCCCCTAATTTTTGTATGCTTTCTATACCTCACTTTCAACTGTTTCCACCAAGTTTCTGTCTCTTCTACGTGCGCCTAGCAGATTCCACTCCAACACTTTTCTCGATGATAGCATTGAATCCTCTGGTTTTTTAGGGTGCGCGTAATCAATTTACGTTATATGGTGGAGGCTGGTAGGACCTGGCTACAACGGTAGAATGATAGTGTCACCACGGAGGCTGGTAGGACCTGGCTACAACGGTAGAATGATAGTGTCACCACGGAGGCTGGTAGGACCTGGCTACAACGGTAGAATGATAGTGTCACCACGGAGGCTGGTAGGACGTGGCCAGAACGGTGGAATGATAGCAGAACCACGGAGGCTGATAGGACCTGACCAGAACGGTGGAATGATAGTGTCGCCACGGAGGCTGGTACGACCTGGCCAGAACGGTGGAATGACAGTGGCACCATGGAGGCTGGTAGGACCTGTCCCGAACGGAGGAACAATAGTGGCACCTAGGAGGCTGGTAGGACGTGGTCAGAACGGTGGAATTATAGTGGCACCACAGAGGCTGGTAGGACGTGGCCAGAACGATGGAATGATAGCAGAACCACGGAGGCTGGTAGGACCTGGCCAGAACGGTGGAATGATAGTGGCGCCACGGAGGCTGGTACGACCTGGCCAGAACGGTGGAATGATAGTGGCGCCACGGAGGCTGGTAGGACCTGGCCAGAACGGTGGAATGATAGTGGCACCACAGAGGCTGGTAGGACCTGTCCAGAACGGTGGAATAATAGTGGCCCCTTGGAGGCTGGTAGGACCTGGCCAGAACGGTGGTATGATAGCGGCACCGCGGAGGCTGGTAGGACCTGGCCAGGACCGCAGGATGACCGTGGTTGCGTGAGAGGCGAGGTGTGCGGCAAGGTAGCCCACGTAGGTCAACCCACGGAATCTGAGTCACTTCAACATCGTGGCGTCACTGGAAACCCACAACATGACCTTCGGATCGCCATCGTCACCGTCCCTGCTCAGGTATTGCACACGCTCATCCAAAGGAGACGAAAGGAAATAAACATTGACTGTGATATATGTTAAAGTATAAAAAACCCAACAGCCAAAATAATTATCCACTGTTGAAGCCTACTTTTTAGATTCTAGCGAGTTCCGTTGTTCCGTTAGTTACTAGAGCAGGCCTAAATTTGGCTACACCTACTTCGCTTTCACCTATTCCAGTTGATTTGTCATTTTCAGGGTCTACTCACTGCGATCAGTGTCGCAACTTTGTTTTCTGGGCTTCGTCACTAATAATACTTTGTATTATCAGCTTCCATCCAGTTTTAGTGCTTATTCGACACATTTGAATACCCACGCCGCAACAAACCTGCAGAGTTAGATTTCCATTTTCATGGCTGGATTTTCAATCAAATGTCTCCTTGTCATATTTAATACATTTTGTTCCCTATTTAAATGGCATTAGCTTATCGAGTACTTAAGTTTGCAATTGAAAACAAGCTGGAGTCGTTTTGAGAGGTTATCTTTGCATGAAAAGTATTCTCGTTTTCTAATTTAGCTTCCTTAAAAGGCATAATATGAAGAAATATGTAGTTAATCACAAGGGCAAAAAACCAAGAGACATTCAACGCTTGCTCATTTTCTGAAAGTTAATCTCGGATTGAAAAGAGTCACTTAACGCCCTAGTAATGAAATATACTATTATTTCTCTGTGTTTTGCTTTTATAAAAAATGCACTGCTCTTAAAGGTCGGACAAGAGTTGAGATCAGGTATACCACTAAGGTCGAAGCAAATACCGAGGTATTTGTGTGGGGTATCCTGATTAAACTTGTAGGATGTAACAGGAGCAACAGAACAGAAGACTCGAGATGATGGAAGAAAGTAGCGACGCCCTCAGAACCGTTAGTCAGTGGGTGGACGGGCTTTGACAACGCAAAGTGACTCATTACCTCATTGGCCAGGGGAAATATCTCGTCAAGTGGGAAATCGTCAAACTGTCAATATTAGTTTCACATTATATCCTGGCTTAGGTTCTATTTATGCACAGCTTATAAATGAACATGACGAAGGAAATTGTTGGATATTTTCATGTTTGACATCAAACGTAGCTCAGTTAAAAATTGCATAAATAGTAGTTTTACTTGAACCTTGTAACAGGGTGCAAGCCGAGGTTTGAAATGACCCTTAAAACTGCTACAAAACAACTACAACTTTAGTATTAGGCCTACAATTGAGTTTGAAATGATTTGCGTTCCCACAATCCACTAGGTGATAGAGTAAAGATAGATCAACATGTAAGTTACCGGTATTATTTTCACTGAATTGGGAAACAACTTCAGCTTTACTTTCAATAACCTCGCCTCAAGAAAGCACAGAGAGCAAAGCCCTTAGTCGATACAATATCATTAGTAATCCTAGAGTCGTAGATCTAATTTGTTCCAAACTTGGGAACAATCCAAACGTCATATTATGGATACACTAGTTGTGTTATGTGAAAGCAGACACTTTCTTTTTTTATTACTTAGCAGTATCATTGACCATTGGATTTATTGATGGATAAGCTAAAACAGATACATTTTGTAATGTTCCTTTCTCTCAAATTTTCAGGAACGTCCTAGTTTCCTAAGAAGTAAATTGTAGTTCAGATTCAAAATAAAGAACGAACTTTCCAGAACATAAATAAATTTAGTTTGTTTTTTAGTTTGTATCACTGTATGTTTTTAACACCCACATAGACATTTCGCAATGTTGAGTAATTTGTTAACCAGTGGAGTGAGTGATTTGTCGGTCGGTAACCTGAAAGCTATTGATTTTAGCAAGTCGTGTTTGACAACCTCTCTACCACGGGTTGGAGATAACTTTTATTGTGTTTTTCAATTTTGGAAACTTACTTTTTACCAGCTTACCTGTTTTCTTTTCTGTTAAAATCGTGCTTTTAATGCTCTTTAGGATCCAACCTATGTTAAATATCATATTAAGTCATCGATTGACCACTTTATAAAGCCACTTCATGAATGAGTTAAATTATAAAATAGGTCAATGACTTCAAAGTACAAATACATACTTTGAAAAGTATAAATCAGTGTTATAGAGCTTACCAATTTGCAAATAAGTGAATTTCTTGAGGTGTGTTGAACAGCAAACACGACCGAAGTATCTTGAAGCCTATTAACAGCAGGTTTATCGACACCGGAAGATAGTAAAAGTTGCACACACGTCTAGTGTGCAGGGAGGAAACAAACAACATTCTACACGCAAGGTGTCAAAACTGAGCGAAGGTGGTGCAAGATGGTGATTCACGCGAGGAAGGTCAGTCACCTACCATGTCAGCGTCTAGCAGAGCATGGCCTGGGGGGCGTCACAGGGTCCGCGACCAGGCTCCGGGCTGGAGGGTAGAGAAAACAGGAAAGCAGGAGGCCTTCCCTTAGTGTGTCTAGTCCATATTTTCTAGCCCCTGAGCTGGTTCTATAACTAAATTGAAATATTACCCTCGTCAGCCAGCTCTTGTATTGTTACCAATGTTACGGCCGTTTCAGCATCACTGTGCCATCATCAGACTGTTCAACAGGACTGTTTTTTAAAACCCCGTTTTGACTATGTGTGTGTTTCGTGTGAAAATGTTTTTGTGTAATAACGACGCCTTTTGGCTGAACAGTCTGATGATGACACAGTGATGCTGAAACGGCCGTAACATTGGTAACAATACAATAAAGGAGCTGGCTGACGGGGTAATATTTCAATTTAGCTTAGTGTGTCATTGTCCTAGAAGGATCTACAAAATTACCTTACTACCTCCTCTTCGTCTTTGACCAGCCATGGCCGGATGGACAACGTCAAATATAAATAAAACTTCCTGCGTCATGGAAAGATGTATAGGTCACGCAAGAATAAACTCATTGCGTCAAGGAGGAAACGATGGTCCATATTAATGGGGTTTCACCATTAATACATGCGTATGCTGCTAGCTATTTGTTGTAGCTTTTGTCAGAAACCCTCTGGCGAGTCTATTACTAAAGATTGTAGGACGATTAGTCCCAGGGTCTACTGGCCAAGGGTCGGCCGTAAACAATTTTGTCGGAGTTGGACGAACCATTCTCCGTACTAATCCGCAGCCCTGGGACTGGTTGTGCAAAACTTGAAAATCAGTTAAATACAGGTATATTGTGTTTCTTGCTTTAAAATAAAACTAAATCTTTAGATAAAGAATTCCATTTAATTAACTACAAGTTAGTTTGTTTACAAAAACAATATAATAATAATTAACAACCATATGACTTTATAGTCATATGTCATCTCCCTTCTTCACTTATAAGTAAAGTCTTTTGGGAGGATTTACTCTTCGTGATGACTTTCTACTACTGTATCTACGTCTTAAACTCCATTTCCAGCTTTACTCCCGTTCACTTTACTTGCTCCACGTTATTTACTTCACGTTACAACTTTAACTTAGGAATGGGATATATATATACTAGGATGATTAAACATTAGACATAATAACTACCTCTATATACATAGAACCAACTGTATTGAAAACTCTAACTCAAAACTGCTATCTTCACTAGTTGAATACATTATACAAGGTGCAATAGCTTGATAAAGTAACTTTTTCTATTATTAAAGAATTACTGTTTACTTAAACAAAAAAAAAATGATATCCGTTCATTTGTTCAGAATCCACCTTTGAAAGTAGAATAAAATTCCCAAGATTTGTAATATGCCTTAATGTATGAAACCAATACTGTACCCTATTTTATTCTAGGTTAAGAGAAAGTGAACCATAACATTGTGGTATATTTTACAGCAACTAAATACATCTGGTCAAATCGTTTCGACTTCTGCCACAAACCACAAGGTACTCTCACTAACATTCTCACACGCACATCCTCCTACGTACACACACGCACACTGACACACTTTCAATATAAGGTACCGCTGTCTCCATTCATCCACAGTGCCATATGGTGGATAAAACCGGTTCTGGAAGATTTCATTTGTAAACACCAGGGGAAAGATGGAACTTACATTGTTGGAGCTACAGTCTGTCAAGGCTCGTAAATAGGTGACAATTGATCAAACAACAATGTCGGTACTCATAACGTGTGCACTAAAAGGGTTGCAATATTTGCTTGATTCAGATAATGACATAGCCTCCGGTAATAATAACGAAATCGTTTTAGCTCGTATATTCTGAAATTTACATCAAATAAGCTTTCAACTTTCATTATAGCCGTTGTTGAGACAGGAAAACAATGGGGATTTTAGGGGGAGAATCTATCCCCTCCACATATTTATCCTAGCCTTATTAAATCATAGCTAAACAGCTGTGATTTGTCAAAACGTCAACCAGCTGCAACATACATAAAGCAGAAAAAGTTGTGGGAAAACTTCCCCTCAAAGTGTTGCTTTGCCTCAAACCACCTAAATTTTTGAAGAAGAGAAACACAAACAATATCAACCAACACAAAAAAGTTTCACCAAACCTTCAAATAATGGAATAATTTCAAGTCAAGGGAACAAACATGTGTTCTACTTTGAAATTGGAGATTGTCATGTGACGCTGACTGCAGTAGTAAATATAAACACTAAGTCATAATGTTTATAGTTGCTAATTACACACATTACTTTAGTGTTTAATTATAGTTTGTGGTCAGTAAAGTGTAAATAAACAATGAAATAACAACGAGTACGTGTGGGTCTCTTACAACGCGTTGGTCGAGACGCTTCAAATATAACCTCAACACTTAGCCAAGTACTCACCCACACTGGGGGACGAGCTTTGCATGGAGAAGGTAGGCACCTTAAAAGGTATTTCAAAAGCTAGATTTTACCCTAGGATGATAAATCTAATTGCAGTTTTCAAAGTCAATGATAGTACGACTTTTAACCTTTTG